ACTCCCAGAAACCCTGGCCTCCAGAGGTGGTGGTGAAGGCTTCTGAGAGTTGTAGTCCAAGAACATCTGGAGGCCCAAGGTTGGGGACCACTGCTCTAGAGGATCTGAAAGTTTGTGCATGGCTTTGTAAACTTGGCTGGTCTTAATAAAACCTGTAGCTCAGAGATGATAAACACTTGTTTTATGGGCTACAGCTCCCATAATGCCACAAACAGAAAGGCCACCTGTGGGATTCTGGGAGATGTTATCCAAAAATAAACATTTCCCATCGCAGCAGAGGTTTGGCCTTTCCCTGTAAGTTTAAGAAAAGCATCTGAGAGATCCAAACTGCACACAAATAGATCCCCACCTCTCTAGATTTTTGGGGTGTTTCAGTCACAACCTTCTCTGACTTTGCACTCTCCTGACATATTTTGGGCTACAACTCCCATCATTTCCAGCATTATCAGAATGAATATTATTCAGTAGGGTATGATCATGTAGCACACTCCAATTATAAAGTCCTTACTGGGTATGAAACCTAAAAGAAGACTCCCTTGGACAATCTACTAAGATGAGACACTTCCCAGGTGAATGTGTGTAGAAATACAGCCCTAATCTTACCATGATTGATTGATTGTATTTATACCCTGCCTATCTAGGCTGGGTATAGACACAAACCTGCAGACACAAACCTGCTGAAGCATTTATGCTTTGCTTCCAGAGCCTGTGTGGCACTAGAACAGATACCTTGTGCTTTTGCTCATTGTAGTGCTACTCATCAGGAACTAGAAACCATAGCTAAGGTCTACACTATACCATGATGAGGTTATATTATTGTACTCCAGTAATATCACCCCATCATGGCACTTGCCTTATGCTGTGCTGTTGCAGACAAATCCCTGGCCTCTGGATTCTTCTGAATTGGTGAGAATAACTTGAGATGGCACAATTGGTGACTCCAGATATGAACCAAGCTGATCCAATTTGCTTCAGGGCTGAACTGAATTCATCTGAGTTCAATATTTGTCTGAAGTAGTCAAACAGCCTCCAAAATCTACCTTCCTAAGAAGAAAAAAAGTGCTTTTGCTAACACAGCTTTCATTTAACGGAGCAGCAGTTGTGAATAACAGTTTCTTGGTCTGCTGTGTATCATAGCACCAACAGAGCACGTCTTCTGTTGCATTACAAGAAGCAAGGAATGAAAACATCTCAGGATTCTTGGCAGAAAACAAGCTTTTGTGTATCTATGGGAAGCCAGGGGAAACTCAACAGAACACACTGCCACAGACCACGTTTACTTAATGTTCACCCTGTTCTATGTTTCTCTTGTTCCCATTTATTGGAATAGTGAGGTGTTCAAGGAGTGCAAGGCTTACCCGGGCTTGGACCTTTTTTGGGAAGGTCACTGGAGGCTTAGAGATACAGGTGGAGGTATAGCTTAAATCAAGAGAAGGAAAACTTTTGGCCTTCCAGATGTTTTGGCTTACAGCTCCCAGCATGAGGAATCAGATCAATCTCTGCCCACCCAGCACAGCAGCTGAGATGCTTATTTAAAATGACTGAAATAACACAGATGTAACTCCTCTGCACAGCCCCTTTTTCTTAGGAGTAGGAAATGGCACCAAGCCATAATATTAAGATTATAGGTCACGTGTGTCTCTTTCCCTCAGATATCCTGATTCTTGACAAAAGTGTCTGTTCTCCATAATTTCATTTTGAGGGCTAGAGGAAGGGAATTAAGCCAATGTGTTTGCATAATTTTATCTGATTACTCACCATTGCTTTTCTAGTTGAAGACTGTTAACCTGTGATGTCAGATACATTTGCCCAGAATTATAGTGGCTTTTACATATCTCCCCCCCCCCACTTGGCTAAAACACTGACTCCCAAACTTGGAACCCCAGAGGTTCTTTGGCTACAATTCCCAGAAGCCTGACAATAGAATTTGTAGTCCAAGCATATTAGGGATGCTAAGTTTGGGAACCACTGGACTCAGAGGTACTTGCACATGTTTTTTTAAAATTATGGAACTTTAGATGCGTACATTCGTTCATTCGAGTATAATTCAAAAGGGGGAAAATAATCTGATACTCATATTTTCCTCATGATGATAGGGCATTCAAAAGCTAGATGCATACATTTGTAAGTGTTTTTGCTTGAAACTCCTGGAATACAGAAAGGAAATCCAGTGTTACCTAGAGACTAAACTATATGATGGTATTATTAATACAATGGTCAAAATCCTCTTGCATACATTACACCTATGTAAGGAAATGACATCATTAGTACTGGCAGATTGCCACTAATTTAAGAGTCCCCCACTTCAGTTCCTCACTGTTAAAATCCTACTTGATTGAATTACAGTAGACTGAATTGATTAAAGTATCCCCACTTCAATTCCAGGTCACAATATATATGTCTGTGAAGTTACATGCACAATAAAATTATTTTTAAACAGCGAGAAACTAAAGCAAAGGATTCTTTAATTAGCAGCAATCTAATTGCCCTTAGGCTGGGGTAATATGTTAAAATGTAACAGTGTATTACTTGTTGTATTGCAGTTGTTTAATCCAGTTGCACAGGATTATAGTGGCTTCCATTTATTTTTTCTGAGTCTCACAACTCATAATGTCTCCAGCAATTTCTTATCTTATGGCAATTATCATCCCAAAGTTACCCTCTTTGCGTAACTGTACAACAGGATTTCAGCCATTGTTCCAAAGCTCTGGGCGTAACGGACATGAGCTAAGTTTTCTCTTACCTGGTTGCAATTGCATGGCTCTGCCTCTTTGTTTGGATGCTTGTAAAAGAGGAATTAGCCATGTAAATGTCTCCAGATGACATCCTAAAATGCACTATTTCTGGATATCCCTTGTACCAAATTATCCAGGATAAACAGAATAGGAATGGTGACTGTTGATAACAAAAGATAACAGTAGTTATAATTATTTCAAATATTTCTAAGACTGTAGAAACCAAGGGGTAGCACAACACTCCATGGGTGGACCATTGTGATGTAGTGCTTCAAATGGAGAGTCACCTCTATGTCACAATTGGTGGCCTCTGGGCCACAAGGAAATGTTAGCCTCATCTGAGGCAGATCAGCACTATCCACCAAACCAGGCATCTGTCTCTGTCTGGGGCAAAACGTGAGCACACAGATGTAAGATAAAAAGAAAATGTCAAGATTCCGACGATACCACAGACACCGCAGCAGAAAAGGCGGTCGTTGTAGTGGCCATGGAGGCAAAAGGCGTAAGAGGAGAGGCAAGAGAAAAGGACATGGAGGATGCCGGGGCACAAGAAAGCAAGGTGATACTCTAGCTATGAGTTTGCATTCAATTGATGGGCTCCTCAGCATCTCCTTCTGGAGTACAAAAACATGTTGACATATACACAGGAGAGACTATTGTTGTTCATTAAAAACAGGAAATTCTCTTTTAGTAAGAGGAGTGACAAGTCACAAATACCATTGCCTAACAAGTAGACCAGAGTGAGCAACCTATTTTTTATGCCCTCAGCTTTCTTCTGTGCAGCCTCCTTATGCTTTCCAGATGTTCATACTGCTTTGTGAGACCAATCATAGGGTGCCACAGTGGCATCCTTTTGTTCTGATGAATTTTCAAAGGGCTGCTGCTCTTCCCTTGAAACCCAGACCCTGGATTCTCTACATCCACTTCAGTCACCCAATGCTTTGTGATGTAAGCTGTGGTGCTTTCCTGGAAGTTCCACTGGGAGGTATCAGCCCCATAAGCCCCCTGTAATGCCATGAAGGTGATTGCTGGCCAGTGCAATAACAAACCAAGCATTCACAGAGCTCTGCAGGAGGAGTTCTAGATCCCACCTTAGAATGGAAAGGATTCTGGCCCCAGAGGAGAACTAGAGAGAAAGAAAGTGAGACTTAGGTTTAAATCCCTGGTCATCTAAGAAAAATGATAGCAGCCTCATTTTGGAGCAAGTTCTTTAAAAGCTGGTGGACCAAAGAATGCAATTGTGAGGAGCCTTTATGGAAACTTATAAAATACAGATACAATACAAATGAAGCAGGACACACTTAGGACCTTGTAGGATTTTGGAGGGTCAACCTCCAGATGATCCCTGTTCCTGCATTCCCTAATTCAAAACACGATTGTGATGAATGAGATAAAGGGGAAAAGAGATGGAAGGACAAATATATACAGAACAGGCTGTCCCTTTTACCTTCTATCCTGCTAGCAATCAGGTGGGTAGTCCACCATGGCATTTTATCCACTGATACCACTGCAACAACCCTAATTATTTTACAGAATATTTTAAAATTAATTAGTGATGTCCATAGTAACATGTTAGTTAATGCATTCATTCTTAAGATGAATGAAAATTACTTAAAATGGCCACAACTCTCCAAATTATCCCTAAAGTAAAGAATTAAAATGAGTGAACTGCTAATAATTTGTCAGACCATGAACACTGTTGCTGTTAAAACAATAATTGGATCTTTGTGCCCTTTGCTAAAATAACTTTATGGGGAAATCCAGATTTGAAGATAGAGAGAAAGCCCTTTTACGGAAGAAGTGGGAGGAATGTAGCCTCTGCTGATGAATTTCTAATATTTCCCACTTTACTTGCAAAATATAATATACCTACAAGAGCAGAATGGTAATATTTCCAGCTTTTGTATTTCCTGGTGTCTATCTTTGGTCCATCTGCACTTAGTGCTTCAGGAGCTCCTAAACTGTTGGAAGGAATTATTGGTCAAAATTCAACCAGTAACCATGATGTACTGTATAAATTTATTTAATTCAATTTTACACAGCCCCACTTAGTGAAAATCGAGTACTCTGGGTGGTCATATACAAAGTCATAAACAGTCAACAGACAAAAACCAAAAAGCAAACACCCCTCCCAAATAAAAAGGCATAAATATATAACAAACTCAAATAATAATCTAGATAACTAAATAATGGAATAAATCGTAAATAGTGGTGACAGCCCTCTAGAACTAAAATCATGGGTCAAGTTGCTACCTGAGAGGGAAAATATCCCTGAAGGCCTCTTCAAACCAATCCATTTTAAAATAATTTCTTGAAAGTCTTGAGGGAGGGGGGACTGATGTATTTCAGATGGGAAGCCATTCCAAAATAAAGGGGCCAGCACCAAGAAGGCCTGGCTCCTCGTCAAGGACTTCCATTGTTTAATGGATCTTTATGAGATATATATCAAGAGCATAAGGAGATAAACAATGGAGAATTATAAGGTTGAGCAAAATCTAAACTATAGGAAAGTACATTAGAATCCATACAAGATTTTTTTTATATTTGAAATTGAGGTTGATCCAAAAAAAAAGAGAGTAGTATCTTCCACGCTATCAATTAGGAAGGGATGATCAAACTCTGACAGATGTTGGAGATGTAATATTGAAATGAACCCTTGCCACATGTGATCCAGGCTTGTCCAGTAAAACATTTATTTTGGTTTGAAATAGAGATGAGGATGAGCGAATATCAATATCCCTGTCCCTTCTGGACCTCGTGAGAGTCCACCTCCTGGGACTGGACCGTCCACTCACACATCCTAGCACTGCAAAGGTCCCACTCTTCCCACCAATGGTCCTGGGAGCTCCACTCTTTTTGTGCTTGCTAGCCACTCCAGGTAGGGGGCAGGAGGATGAGTCTCCCTGTGTGGCTGCTGAGTGGCCAGCTGAGCAGGAAGACAGTGACACTCCTGGAGCCATTGGCAGGAAGAGTGAGACTTTCATGGTGTTGGGACATACAAATATGAATGTCCCCATCTCTAGTTTGATATTGTCATTTATGTTAATGCAGCATTTGGGAAATCTTAGGTATTTCTGGATATTCGTGTTCTGTCAAATTATATTCTTCTCCTATGATGTCAAAGGGAAAACAAAACTGGACTTTAGGAGCCCTTATGGTGGCTAAGAGACTTATATTCCAAGCCCAGAGGGATAAACATCCACCCTCTACTACACAATGGTTGGAGGACATGTTATACCTGAACAAGCATCATATACTTGTAGATATCAATTTCACGAGGACATTTCCTTGTACATCTGGGAGGCCTATGCTGATCTATATGTGTAATATAAGATGTATGCAGTGAAACTATATTGTAAATTTCTAATGATGATTTATAGCACTACTAAGGTTATTGTATTTACCACTTTTTGTTCTGTATTTGTTTTGTGTTTTTTCTTTGTTAACTCAAGTTTGTATGTTCAATTTGCAATATATATATATTTAAAAAGATCACAAGCGACCTGATTTTAAAAAAATGTTCTCCCCCTTCCTTCAAGGCCGTTACCACTACAGGAGGTGTGTCCTATATTAAGCTCACCTAGGTAGAACAGATGATGCCTGATGACGAGCTGCCGCAGCCTGAACTGAAGCAACATCTTTCTTCAAACAAAGCATCAACACATGGAGCAGGAGATGGTACAGATCATTTCCAATTAAAACTTGCTCAATTGAAATATTTGTGATATCTCTGTTTTCTCTTTCCAAGTGGACCCTTCCCTCTGAAACTGTTTGGCTCAAGGCTTACTGCTCCCTGGCTTAATTTAAAGATCCATCCATCTATCTGGATTAAAAATCAGTTATATCAACACAGTGCAAGGAGGAACGTGTTAGCCCAACTCCCCCTCATCCTCAGTTCCAATACCCTTCTGTCTGTAGAGACTGATATTTCTGAATAGGAGAAACTCCACTGTTTCCGGAGACTCTTCATGTGAACTGGAACCCTGGAAAATTAAAACTGCAAGTCGTGTAAAGAGTTTCCACATCTAGAGGAGGGTTGAGAATGTTGCACTCCACATGTAGAAACAGAGGAGGTAGGGGTAACATGATCTCCCTCTTTGAATAGTAATGCAACTTGGGACATACCCAGTCTCATTTGATTTTAGAAGTTAAGCAGGGTCATGCCTGATTAATATGTAGATGGGAAATCACCAGGGAATACCAGGGTCTTCATCTAAGGCTGGGAAAGAAGCCTTGGAGAGCTGATGATCATCAAAATTGACAATGGGCCAAATCCTGCTGTATGTCTGGTGCAACTAAGATTGGGCACAAGAGCCCACGGGTGTCTGAGAACCTAAAATGGGGATATAGAAAGCTTTTAATTAGTGTGAAATATATGCTTTCACTGTCCAATCCTAGCTGCACTGAGTACAAAGTTAAACAAAATTTCACCTAATATCAAACCAGATGGACCAGTAAATCAGGATGAGACAGCCTCCTCTATTCCTATGACTGAACAGATCATCTCTCCTTCCCTCCCTCCCTCTGTCCTTTGCTCCCTATTTATCTATATAATAATGCAATAATTAAAACCACAACATCCAAATTAATCGCACCAGAGGAAATTTCTGTTTGCTTAGTGTTAAGAGGTGGGGTAGCCAAGGTAATCCTATTACAGCAAAAACTAACAAAAAGAAACAAAGAGTCTTGTAACATCTTGAAGACTACTAAGATGTCTGATCAGGAGGCCAGTTATTTAAAGTGGCTCAAGGGCATTTTCTGCAAATCTAGCTCCATCCAGAGGATGCCCATGGGCTGCCTGGGTCATTTTCATTCAGGGGCCAGCAGTGTATTCCTGAAGGAAGAGAAAGAACATCTGTTACATACAGCACTGATGGTACCTGTCTGTCATGGGTTTGGAGGGAAAGTTCCATCCTATGGGGAGTGGAAGGCGGGACATCAGGGAGGAGGGGCTGTACTGTATATATATTTAGAGCTGGTGTGGAGAGGAGGAGTTGGAGTCTGTGGGTCAGACTGAGTACAACTGTGTGTCAGTTAGTACATACCTGATAGGTTCAGGTTTCTTTATAGGTAGCCAGAACTGATAGGTTCAGGGTCTGTGCTTTACTTTAAAGTGTTCTGTGTGAACCAAACTGTTGTATGTATGATTGAGACTAAGCCACGTTACAGTATCTTATTTACCTGATCTTTTTATTTACCCTGTTTGTTATTTAAATAAACCTTGTTCTTTTGTTTAGTAAAATCCATTCCTGGTCTGTGTGACTCCTTACAGGGAATGGTTGGTGGCAGCTTAGTTATAGTGTGGCATACTCCGGTAGGTCTGGGGTTGTCACAACATCTTATTACCTGGTATTTTAGTATTAGACTGAGCTCCTCTGGGCATCTTTAGCGTCCGATCAGTATGTTCAGGGTAGTATGGAGGCCCTGTATTAGGGGAGATGTGCTAGCAGATAAATGACCATTAACAATATGTATATGCAGTCTGAACCTAATAGAGGCTCTCATCAGGCTAAGATTATGAATGACTTCCTCCTACTGAAAGGGATGGTATCTAAACTGGTTGCAAATCTGTGCCTTTGACTAGACCTGGGCAGGATGGGTTGGAGGTAGCATGCATTGTGGCTGCAAATCTGTGCCTTTGACTAGACCTGGGTTGGAGGTAGCATGCATTGTGGGTGGCTCCATGGTGGGCGCTTAATGTGTCAACAAAATTCTTTGTAGGTCCTCAGTGTGGGCCACCAGCATGCACCTGATGCTGCCTGGGAGTGGGTCTAGGGTGGTCTGTTACAGCTGCCATGCTGACCCACCCACCCTCCTGTTGCAGTATAGGATTAGCTGGGAAGGACTGTTTACCTATCGACTGTTTCCTCTAACTCTACACTGCTCAGCAAGATGTGGCAACAATTGGCAACAAGTGCCTGGTGGAAGTCTAGGTAAATAAGGAAGGTTATCTGAGCACACAGTGGGAGGTTGTTCAGTGAGACAGACAGTATAATGCAAACATAGGTGAACACTTGAAGTCATTGTTAAGGTGAGGGTGGATTCCCGAAACTTGCTATTCAGGAACGTGGGACCTGAGTGATGTGTGGTAATAGACCTCTTGGAGGGTCAGCAACTTGAAAAAAATCTTCTATTTACAGCTGAAGAGGTGCAGCTAGATGGAGAGTGGATAGTGTTCACTTTACTTCACTTCATGCCTGAGTTAAGATCACCCAGAGTGAAGTCAGGAAAAATTGGCAGGTGGCTCCTTCATTCGTAACAGTATTCCACATGAGAATCAAAATGGTTGCAGATCTTAGGACTGCAGAGCTGGAAGGGATCCTATAGATGATTGAGTCCAGCCTTTGTCAAGGAGGCACAGTGGGGAATCAGACCCCCCCCCAGCCTCTGGCTCTGCAGCCAGATAGCTAAACTACTGAGCTATCCAGCCGTTCTAGATTAAAAATAACACCATGCTGTTGAGTCAAGACTGAGTTCTGGTGATCTTAGATATAGAGTATTGAGAGGTGGTTTACTGCTTCCTTCTTCTGGGGATGCTCTGGGACTGGTCAGCTTGCCCAAGAGCATGCAGGCTGGGTCTTCTATGAGGCACAGTGGGTTACTGAACTCACACTCTTGGGCTCTGCGGCCAGATGCTCCATCTCATTGAGCTATCCAGCTAGCTAGATCTTGTTAGGCTAAAGTTAGACAAAGCTGTGGCTGCCATTAATCCAGTGATGCAGCTGATATTACGATTGGTGCAACCACAACTTCTAGTGCTTTCAATTAAGCCAGTCACAATGAACTTTTGATGGATTGGTTCCATAGTCCTCTGCCCTGATTTGAACTTCAGTCCAGATTTTTAGTGTCGGAAGTCATTAATAATGTCATTAAATCAGAAGTCAGAAGTAGTAAGCTTACCATAAAGTCCCGATGGACAGTTTATTTGTACAAATATTTCACAATTACTTTCATCTGAGCCATAGCCTCATCTTTATCTGGGGTTTTAATCTTTTTGCTTGTTTTCTTTGTCAGTCTCACTTTGGAAACACCCACCTATTTATGGATCTTCACAAAACAGACCTAGTTTCAGCTGAAAAAAGAATAACTATAAGCACTGAATTCTGTTGCCATAGAATTCTCTATTTGCTTTCCCTCTGTGCTTTCGAGATTGCCAACTATTGGCAAAACTATTGAATTCAAATAGAGAGCTCTTGGCCTTGGAATAAAACCAATTTGATCTTCAACACGTGAACTAAAAATGGGAATCTAGAACTTGAAACCTGCAGAGTCCCGACGTTACAGCTTCTGAAACCGTGTTGCTTGGGCACAAGAAGGAACAAATGATTAGAAAGTAAAAATGAAGTGCAAAATGGTTGTGACCGTTTATATTCTGCAAGCTTACCTTTTTGACTAAATCCTGCTCTCTTAAAAGGCAAGAAAAGTGTAAATTGAACTCAAAAAGTCTTTACTTTTAAACATGACTTTTAACCTTTCATTTATGATGCTTATATAATGAAATGAATGTTATCTGTGGTCTAAAAATTATGCTGCAACTTCAGCACGAGATCAGTATAGCTCTCCCCTCACTGGCAGCTTTTTAGGGTGTGCTTTCTCCCCACCCTGGAGTTTGCTGTTGGAAGTAGTTCCATCTCTAGACATCTCATAGTTGTCTTTAGCTATGTATGTCCTAGTAGATAAATGAATACTTATGATATAAGAATCATAGAAAAGTGAAGTTGGAAGGGGCCTACAAGGTCATCAAGTTCAACCCTCTGCTCAATGCAAGAATACATTCAAAGCATATATGCCAAGTGATTATCTACATTTTTTTGAAAGCCTCCAGTGTTGGAGCACTCACCAACTCCTGAGGTAGCTGGTTCTACTGTTGTTAGTTTAGTTAGGCGTCCATCAGTCCCAAAAGACTATGGTAATGTGCTCTGTATGGAGGACTTGGAACAGCGTCTAGTGTGGCTGAGGAGGCCAATTCGAGAATGACAATCCCTTCCACACTGAAGACAAATCCAATCTGTCCCCTGTCCAGCTCCCTGGTTTTGGTGCTTTTGTGACTTCCTCTTTGCCTCAGCCTGCTGGGCAAGGGTCTCTTCAAATTGGGAGAGGTCGTGATGCAGTGCCTGCCTCCAGGCTGAACGCTCATATGTCAGGGTTTCCCATCTGTTGAGGTC